CATTACCGTATATACATTATGTAAGCTCACACAATATGCAGCATAATAAATAATTTTCTACGGCGGAAATCACCGTCAATTTAATGAATATTGAATATTGATAAAATAATATTGATAGAAATACTTTGATTAAATATTTTAAAATATTTTAATAAAAATATTTTGATTAAATATTTAAATACTTTAATTATTTTTCCTTCATTTCGCAAGTATGTCAAACCCGTTCAGATGTATTTGTGATATAGGTATGATTTTTATCAGCTCAGTAAAATTTTGAGCTTTTCAATAATTATTTATTATATACAGTTCAAAAAACAAGATTACAAAGTTAGCAAAAAAAAGCGGTACAAGTATGTAAAATTTAGTTAAATTGCTTATGTTTGTATATATTGATCAATATTCTTTTTTTAGCACCCGAAAACCTCCCTCCATTCCTTAATAATCATGATACGGCCATTTTGGTCCTCCGAGCTTTGAAAAAAAACAAAAAATATGCCAGCCCTCGTATTTGAATGGAATTTGGCAGGGTTTAATGATGTTGCGACTGCACCAGGACTTTGAAATGGTGTTGCAAATCAAGACAAGGCTATGATTATCGCAAATCTTACAGCAAACGGCGCGAAAATTATAATAATATAGTATTTACGTTTCCAAATGGCACCGCATTGGAGCGTGGGTCGATCAAATGTATGTAAACATACCATGGTATGAATGATGATTAATCTCTCATTTTTCAGATTCTTTAGTATCAATTTAATCTACCTTTTTATTTGTCAAAGGGCGGAGAACCAGATGGATGTCCCAGATGTCGTCATCTCACGGCAGTCACAAGGATTAATCAGATTACCAATAGAGACACAGGGATACCTTCGATCGCATTTACTGTAAGTAAACCACTACCGATGATATTTATCCGCAATATACTACCAAAGTGCATATTTACTTTTTGTGGCTAAAAAACTTCAATTGTAGAGGTGCACCGTGTACAAAAAAAGATTAGCAACTAATGGATGCATACGCAGTTATAAAATTACCTGTCATGATTTTGTTTTGGCCGCCCAAAATTTTATATCTGTTGTCGAATATCTTGCTCTCACTTTTCGTCATATTGTAATATATTCCACCCGTATTTAACCTATATGTTACCATACAATTACTACAAGAGAAGTCTTAAACTCTCTAGGAGGCTCCTTCGCTAAGTGCAGGACTCTTTTATATTAAATTGTTTATAGTAAGAAAATGCAGGAGAATGTTTCTAGCTCCATTAATATCTCGATCCAGGATAAATGGGTAACCTTCACACTTAAAAGTCTTCAATCCACCTAGCTCGTCATTAACTAATCCACAGGAGCCACATGTTTTACTCGTATAATCCTCAGAACATATTATAACTTTACAGTGAAGATATTCTCTTACTTTGCGAAGTAAATATTGATGAAACGATAATGACTCCATGTGCACATGGCTCTAGATGGTTTAGACTGAATACTGCGGAGACTACGTCTTATCATGTTCTGGGTCTGAAATTCAGGGATAAGTACTATCCTGTGATTACTACATAACCACTTCGCAAGTTTCCTATGAAAATCATTTCAATTTATACCAAAACATTTATATTTATACTGAAAACATTTATATTTATTACCATGAAGAGTGTCCTTCTTAATTTGTATTTTATTGTAAGCATGACATAGACGATTAATTCTCCATTACCCCATGATGCAGTGTGAGTAACAGGTCATAAAAATCCTAATACCTAGATCAAGGGAAACTAACCTAGTTCTTCTTTGTTCCTCATTTACTATGAATAGACCTTGATTTTCAGTTCGTAATTCAAGCGGTCTTGGAATACAAAGATAGAATTCACCCAACTTATTCATTACTAAGCGACTGTCATAACCAAGAGTATGGGAAATTGACTTAGAAGATTTTACCTTCCACAGAAAAGAGTACTCACTTTCTTTCGATCCCAATGCTTTGATTTTATAGTAATAGATTGCTGTCTGTCTTTTTTAGAGCGATACCTCATGGTAAACCTCTTAATACCAGAAGCAAATGTTGAGCTATACACCTTGATTAAATCATTCATAGCCCGATTACGAATATCATAAGGATTTCCAATACCCATTTTAAGTCAGGTGTATTGTTAAACGTATCGACATTAAGAAAGTGTTTACGTAAGTCTTTTTTGTTCTTTTGATGTTCTCTTTTGTAATACCATGGAGACACTGTTGTATGTCCAACGAGAAGCGCCTATCTATTTGCGTAACTTTTCTTGTTCATCTTTTTTAGGACACAAACGAACCTTTATACATTTTCCCAGCGGGAATTTTATTCGCAACTTTCTTTCTGGTATTTGTTTGTTTACCAGTATCTTCGCTTTTATTAACAAACGAGTTGATTCTCTCTATTAGTGTGTTATGTAGTTGATTGTTCTATTGCTGTATCTATTATCTAATACCTGAAAAAGAGAACCATTTATTCTTCTGCAGTGTACGAGTACTGGGTAACACATTTTTGTTATTAACAGCTCTAAGTAATCATAGATTTTTTGAGGAACGAGGAGCTTTAGCCCATTCCATAAAAATGCCAACAATTATTATGCTTGTATCCAATCTGAGTTTTGCTCACGAAGTGAATTACACAAACTACTCTGGAGAAAAATATATTACAATGTTACATCAGTAATGAGTATCCGGATAGTGGACCATAGTCATCTTTGCACATGCTTTGTTCCCAATGGCAACACCAAAGTATGAAAGCATGTTTAAGTTCGTCGAAGCATTGCCCTGAGCGTCTTGCCCTACCCTACGGGTACTACGTAGATTCCATCTACCCTTTGGGTACGAAGTAGAACTGGATTGACTAGGACAAAGTCCTAGAAGAGATATACCCATTAATTGGTTATCAATAACAATCAATTCTACGTTATGACTAATAAGCGTGGTTGAGCGGCAAGACGCTCAGTTCATAACGAAGAAAAGAAAAAGAGGATGGAAATACAGGGAAAGGAAACAAAAAACGTATCATAACAAAACAAACAATAACGTGATCGCGTGTTATGATAAAATTATCCTAAAAATATTTTCAAAATTCCGTATACATTCCATATGATTAATTTTTTCCGTATACTTTTCGTATACATTAGTTTTTTTTAAAAAAATGATTGTTTATTAAATATATGGAATTTGTATACGGAATCTATGAAAACGTATCTAAAATGTATACAAAACGTAACCTTTCCATATACAGATTTATTATAGGAACCTAAAAAATGACAGCCAATCACAAGTTGCGTCACAAAATAATTGTGATCATCGCTATAGCCAAATAACCTAAATTATAGTTATAATATAACCATGATGATCGGATGATGTTAGAACATGCAATCATTATTTTTTTTTGTTGGCTAGGTGAATGGTCTGATTTCTAAGCAATATCCTCCTTAAATGAGTGGTAAAAGTATTATAAATACTGATGCGATTTCTGAAAACTTTGCCAGAACTGCAAAATATATTTTTAAAAGTGTAGAATTTCGATAATATTTATAATTTTACAATATTTGTATTTCAAAATGATTATACCTTTATTAGCAATCAGCTTTGCATTTTTTTATCCAGTAAATGCTCTTCTGGATAACATAGAAGCATCTAATCAAATTACTGAGTCAATCTTTGACTTGATGTTCATAATGATTCCAATTGTCGTATATTTTAACTTTAAATCAACTGTATATACCATTGTACTTTATTTTAAACCGGGAGAGAAAGTTACAGATTCAACATATGCTAGATTTTGTTTCCTTGCCTTTAAACCTTTTGTGCTATCTTTAGCAATTTGGTTCTGTGTCAGAGCTTACCAATTTACTGGAGATTTCTTTTTCATAATATATCTTATTTTTGATGTAATCTTTTTCCTGTTAATAGGGTTTTTTTTATTATTTTATTCACGTGCACGTGCTCGTTGTAATGACCTTATATGCTATATAACTTTATATATAATATGTCTTTTGGACTTTTTTGTTCATTTAGCCTTTTATTGCATGGCTGTTCAATACAATTATGTTGACAAATCAACTTATTTATTCATATTAATACCCTCAATTTTCGCATTTATTGTTGGGGTTATAATATTTTCTTTCAAAAACCTAACCCTGATTAGAGGCATAAATATTAGTAGTATAACAAAAGAAGAACGGATTAAAATTATTATTTCTTCGGCAGTACCTATTTGTACATGTGGAATTATTACCCACTTATTCTTCTGCTCAATTGTTGGGCCCTCCGTTCTGTGGATCAAGGTTTACCTTACATTGGTATTACTAGAGTACTCAATAATTCAGCGTGACCTAAAGAGAAGTTTAACTGAGCTAGATGATTTGGAGAGCCAATCATGATGTTTTTATATTTATGTAAGTCAATTTTCTTAATGTTTCAGTCTAATGATGATATCAAATTAACTGAAATTTTGTTATAACATTATGTTTCCATTATGTACACAATAGTGAACACTTCGACTAGTGTTGATATTTATTATTATATAGTTTATATCATTTTATTTATTTAATAATTTTTTTTTTTGTCAAGCTGCCTAAATGCAACTTCATTGATATGATGTCACATACAAATATGTATATAAGACTAAAAAATCTAATAAACATAAATAGTATAAAGCTAGAAACTAACTATATACCATAAAGTTGATGTTTAAAAACCTGAAATAAAGAACATTAGAAGAGTTGTATAACAACCCACCCGGCTTTACGGTCCCTCTAGAGATCAACTCAACTAAAAACAAAAAAATAAAAGAAAGAAAAAAAAATCTATACTATATACAAAAGCTTCCGCTCATTACAACACCCATTTCCAAGAAATAGGATTTAAAAGGAACTACATTCCCGCAAAATACCCAAAATTTATTCCCCAAAGAAGAAAAAAAACTATAGGTCTTGGTATTTGTCCTGCAAATAATCACGTGTATGAATACTGGAGACTTGTCCTTCAGGATATATCTTTACAATACCATAGAAGATTGATACACCATAGATAATTGGTAGCCTCATTTACGTCGGCCCTGATGATTCGAGATGCCGTATGCTTTCTCAAAATCTCTCGAACCACATCCCCTAAAACATCTTCTTTTATACAACTATCAATGATATTGCCAGAATAAAGTACATGTTTTGGTAGCTCATTCATCCTTAAGAAGGTATACGAATGAAACGGTTGTTGTGCTGTTAAAAAAGTAGAATTAGCAATCAGTTGACAAATAAACTCGACATAAATAGTTGAACTACTGCTTACATGTATCTACAGTAATATTCAAATCAACCACGCGGTTAGCAGTCAAAACAATGATTACTAAATCTTCATTTTTAGAAAAACTCATAACCCTTATTACGTCCTGTCGCACTTTTCGCACCTTCCACATTTTCCACATCGACCGTCACATCTTCCACCGTCTCACTCTGCAAGTTCGATGCGGATTTTTTATCTTTATTTAAAGTTCTTCTCTTCACCTATCACACGACCTATGACAATATGTTTGTCTTCTGTCCCATAATGAAAATGTGAAATGCTCACGTAACCTCTCCTTCAACTCTGCCAAAGACACCATTTCTCGAGTCACCAATACTCACCATCCATTGAAAAAATTTCTTAGTCCGATTATAAATTACAGTAACTGTTGGCCGTTGTACGATGATATGTAGGTATTCGTGCTCGGGTTGAGAGGAAAAATATTTGCTAATCTTCGAAAGAGAAAGCGGTTCCACACTAGAGTTTATATCCGTCCATCCGGATATCCAATTATTTTTGCAGACTAATTCAGGCCAAATTAATAATTCGATCAGGATTACACCTTGGTGTTTCACAAAAAATTATTTTTCTAAAAATCAAGAGGTTGTGTATCATAAATGTCTAAAAAAGGAAATATTTTAGCATAATTCTGGCCGGCATTATAAAATTTGTCCAAATTACTCTTAACGGATAATATCCGGATATCCGTCGGATTATCCGGATATCCACATTCGAATATCCGCGGATATCCGTTTTTCTTCCTTAATATTGACGTTAATATTTTTATTGACAGTAGTTAATTTTTCATTTTCTTTTTCCATAGCTTGAGATCTTTGAAGTCAACATTAGCGAAAGTTTGTGTCCTTACAAAAGCATATGTAAAATTCACAAAAATTTCTAGAATAGTGATATTCTCCTTTGGTATGAATGCTTATATTTTATATGATGGAGTAGTATTATACTAGAATTATAAGTCTTGTAGAAGTCATGACAATTCCGAGAAATTACATAACTTTTACGCTTCACGTACTATTATAGGTATGGAGATACAAAAATACCTTTATTTAATTATATTAGTTTTTGTAGACGTTTAAATTTAAATGTAATCAATGGTTTATTCCCAAAACTTATGTTTTGTCTCTATAGTAACTTAATAGATAACAAAAAAAGTAAATGTTACATGACCGTAAACTGTTAGAAGAACTCTTTACCATTATAGAGGATATTCTAAATGTCTCCAATACCGCGTGCTTGTTGCATTAATCCACGAACAGTAAAAATATCAGCAAATTTGGCTGATACCCATTTTACTATCATGGGACACGAACGTTTTGATATTACTTGCAAAGTCATGTGTGATTAAATATCCCCACAGGTTACATCTGGGAATTATGAGTTGAGTCGGCCAACTTTATGAAATTAGAAAAAAAAAGCATAGTATATAAAATCTAAGATGTTTAGTGGCACATAAAATTAAGCTAAAATGACCATCAATTCTACTAGAAATAATCATGGGAATTTTTTTTTTCAATACACAATTACTTATTTACTTTGCATAATCTTTATTAACTAAATTAAGTAATTGAATAAAAGTTTTTTATTATTAAAGTTCTCTTTTTTTAAAAGATCGGAACATTTTCGGGTGGCTTATAGCCTATAGGATAGAAAGAACTATACAAAATTTGCTGTGGAAAAATGATCATGTATTTAATACGATTAAATATAAATCCTTTGCTATACAATAAGATCAAATTAATTTTTTCACTAAAAGAAAAAAAATATTATTAAAAAAATTATAAATTATTTCTTTATTAAATATAAGGACTTTTTTATTAAAATTAATAATGAATAATTATCTAGGATTTTCTTCATTAAATAAAGTGAAAGGTATAATTATAATTAATTTGAGAACTTTTTTTCGTCAGAAATCACATGATCAATTTACAGTTACGAAAGAATTTTTCAAATAATCTAAACAAATTAAAAAAAGTACAATAAAACAAATTATTATTTTATTTATATATGAGAATTTTTTTCTCAAAATTAATAATAAATAATTATCTAAAAGATTTTTTTTATTAAATAAAAAACAAAAGACATAATTATAATTGTTCAAGATCTTTTTTTTCGTTTGGAGTATTACTAAAATGATTTACGAAAAAATTTTTAAAAAAAACACAATACAGATTATTTTTTATTTAAATATGAGAATCTTTTTTCATACTAAAAATTAATGACGAGATATTTTTCCCAAATAATTATCTAAGATTTTTAAATCTTTATTCCCACACTAAATATCATACTAAAAAATTTTGTCATATTTAGATTACCCTGTATAAATAATTTGAATTGTGTAACATTGAAAAGTGTGCGTTTGATCTATTTCGTAATTATCATATCATAATTAAAATATATCATAATTAACTGACTACGATAACAAATCTACATTTACAGTTAATTAAAATTTTAACTGTATTTTTTTTTATTCTGATGGATTATGCATTTATTTGTGGTCATTTCCGCTCTCTTAATTACCACGAACCATTTCTTTAATAATAATTTTTTTCAGTTTTTACCAAAAAACCGAAACTACCTTTTTAGTCTTTTTTTTTTTAAATTTTTCCCTCTTTTTATCATTATTGGGGATTTTTTTTTAATCGGAATTTATCAAAATTTTGGATTTTTTTTTTAACCCAAAAAATAGTCTATTCTTTTTTTAGTCAATGATATTGTTTCTAACTAATAAATTCGTGTGAAATTTTTTTTTGATATTAACGAATTTTTTTTGTGAGATTGTTTTAATTATATAGATATTTTGTAATTAAATCAATAAAATCAATAAATTTTTTGATAAATCTATATAACTAATAAACTATATAACTTAAAAAATTTATCTGACGTTTGGATTAGTCTCTGCATAATATTCCCGTGACATACCTCCACCTGATCTATTTATTCCAATCCAATTTACCTTCAAACTGAAAAAAAAAATTTCTTCCTTTCTTCTTTCGGTTTAGTTTTTTTTTCAAACCGAAAATTTGTTTTTTCTCATTCTTTTCCCGTTTAGGTTTAATTTTTTTCGATACTTATTTTTTTCAGATTCCTTTTTTTTCAGAAATTTCCCTTTTTTTGAACCGATTTCTTTCCCCCAAATTTATTTTTAATTTTTTTCAAATTCATAAAAATCAAAAAAAAATTGATATTTTTACAATATTTTATAATTAATTAATTGAAGAAATTGTTGATTTAATAATAGACTATTATAACCAAAATTCTTAATTCAAATGGTTTAGTTAAATTAATAATTTATCGAATAAAATGAGTATCAAAAGAATAATAATATATGAAATGAACAGATTTCTAATACATTTAAATGATTCAAATATTTTTCCTAAGTTGATTATAAGTTTAAAAACAATAAGAAATAATTAATTAATTAATATAAATATTTGTAGTATTTTCATAATATTAAAGTTTTCTCAAAAATACTTCTAAAAAAATTAATCAATTTTTATTGATAATTATTTTTTCACAATAAGCAACGGGTGACAACTAGTAAATAATTAAATTATATATTAAAAAAAAAAATTTCCAATTAATATAAATATCTAACCCATTTCTTTTAATACCACTTTAGAATTTTTTTTTTAAGAAAAAAAAAAAAATATGCCATCAGCAGTATTTGTATTATGTCAAATCAAATCCAAAGGATTAGATGGTGGATTTGTCATTGGTTTGGCAAACTATATGATTTCACCAAAAACATTCAGAAATTTTCACTATGGATTTTATAAAAAACAAACATCATTACATGAATTAAATATTAAAGATTAAGCGTTGATATCTGGAAAATGCATTTTTGATAATGAAGATATGTATGTAAGTATATTAAACTTTATCAGTAAATTTTTTGGTATGCAGATCCCTAGGGATTCTGTAAATTTCTATAGAATCCTTGGAGATCTGATATTTTATGGATTCCTTAAAAATCCCTTAATAAATCTTGAAGTTTTTTTATTAGGAATCCTTAAGAATCCTATAATTTATAGAAACCTAAAAAAACTTCAAGAATTCTTTATTTAAGTATCTTATAATTTTAATTTTACAAGTTCGCGTCAAATGATTTACAAATCTGTGTCACAAAATTATTTGTGAAACTTTAATACATGATCACTGATCAGATTTGGCAATGTCTATGACTTGCCTGACTTGCCGAAAAAAAACTTACTTCACATATTCTTCCCTTCCCCTTCATTTTTTCCTTCCCCCTTTACATGTTTCCTATACCTACCAACTATTTTTGAAAAATAAATATTATTGTATTTTATTTTTCAAATTAATTTTTTGAAACTTTTTTTTTTTAATTGTTAACTTTTTAGACGGCTCTTCAATTCTTTGGACGCGGCATTTGGCAGGTATTTTTTTTTTCTTTATTTTTTCTTTATTTTAATGAACATTTCTAATTGTTCATTTTCTCCTTTTTTAGGTATTTTTTCGAATATCTGGGCGTGAAATAGGTAAGTAAGAAAACTTTAGTGTTTTTTTTCATTATAACGAACATTACTAATTGTGAGTTTTTTTTCTTTTTTAGATATTTTTTGGGGGATTCTGGGTGAAAGTAAGATAAAAAAAACATTTTTTTTTTATTTTAACGAACATTTCTAATTGTTCGTTTTTTCATTTTTTTTTAGGTATTTTTTAGGTTTCTGGGCGGCGTGAAAATCTGCTTTTACTTGATGGCTTATGGTAGTTTTCGGTTACTGGACTTACTTATTAACTCTGGACTTTGGATATGGAGTCGGGTATGTATTTAGGAAATATATGAGTTTTTTTATTTTTTATTTATGCAAGGAATTTTACTTTTCTTCTTTCATTCTTTCTAATTTTCTTCTCTCTCTTTCCCCCTCTCTTTCTTTAAGTTTCAGGCGATTTGGACTTTAAAGATGGGTAAGTCTCGCAACGTTTCGTTGCGAAACTTATATTTAAATTTTATTTATTTTTTTTAATAGAAATGTCTTTTAATGTTTTTTTTTTAAGCTTTTTTAGGTACCAGTTAACGTGTTCAACTTGAGGATTTGGTAAGTTTTGCAACATTTTGTTGCAAAACTTAAATTTATTGATTTATTTTAGGAAACATTCGTTAATGTTTCCTTTATTCTTTTTTTTTTGTAGGTCCAGTTCAAAGTTATAGGTAAAGAAGTATTAGGCCAAGTCGATTGCCATTACTGAGGGAATTCATTAAGTTCATAATGCAACTTAGAAGACCTTACCATACCAAATATGAGGAAAAGAAAAGTGTCATATCCGCGAATTGAGTCTAGGAATTTGGTAGAAAAACGTTTACTAATGGCTTCCTTTTTCTTTGATTTGTAGTATTTGGGGATTTAGGTCTTTGAGATTTAAAAAAAATCAGTAAGATTCACGAAACATGTTTGTTGTTGTTTTTTTATTAGGGATTTTACTAACTCCCTTTCTTTTATTTTATAGGTTTTGAGTATAGAAACGGTAAATTTTGAGACTACCATATATTTTTTATTAGAAACATTAGGGAGCGTTAGTTAACGTTCGTCTTGTAGGGATCAAATAGGATTTTGGTAGGAACTTACTTTTTTTAAATTTATTGATTTTAACAAAACGTTTATTAACGTTTCAATTTTTTCTCTTTTTAGACGGGTAAGCTTTGTTAGGGGTGAATGATATTGATGAGGATTTTAAAAATTGTAAGTTATGAAACTTACCGTTTTTATTTTTTTATTTTATTTTTTTTTAATAGAAGGTATCAGAAAAAAATTATGGATATTTATTTCTTTATATATAACGTTTACTAATTAATTTAACTTATTTATTAGTAGGCTCTTTGAATTTATTATTTACATGGCAATATTTACCGACAATCAAATCGGAATTTTTTATTTTTTATTATTCTAGAGAAATATGTAATATATGTAATTATATGAGATAAATAAATATACGTTTATACAATAGGGATTCTATAAACATTTTTAATTCCAAGGATCCGGTGGGGAAGGATCCACGCGAATCCTTACTATTTACAGAAAATAAGGATTTCACGTGGATCTTTACTCCTAAAACATTACCGATGCATCAGTAAATTTTTTGGAATATGGATCCTTAAGGATTCCATAAATTGCTTTAGAATCCTTAAGGATCTGTAATTTTATGGATTCTTTAAAAATCCTTACTGATTTGTAAAATACCCTTAAGGAATCTATAAGTTCACAGATCCTTAAAGATTCCTTAAAGATTCCATATAAAAAATCCTTATATATTCCTTATATCTAAATCTTTAAAAAATTTTATTTTTATTTTAAAATTGAAAAATCACGTGTATC